CGCCAGACACCTTGCTTTTTAAGTCTTTTCATATGAAAGTGCTTAGTAGAAAAAAAATGGCTAAATTACAAGGTGACTCTTCCTTCCCCAGCTAGAACGCATAAATATTAATCCAGCTTTAAGCAAAGCTGTTCAGCATCTACTTTTCAGCCACTCATTTGAAAACACTGGAAATGCAATGACAACAAATGCTGACACATGCTGGTGTCTGAACTAAATGCTACAAGGCCTCTTCAAGCAGGTCTTACAGCCTGCCTTTACCGCTTCCTCTATTGAAAGAGTAAGCTTACTAAATATTTTTGCAAAACATTTGTGGGACATGGTATTTCTCCCTTAGAAAGATAATATCCTTGAAAGAGAATCTCCTACTTAAAGCACTTATGTTTTCTTTTCATATCCAACAATTCACAGATGAACTCTTCAGACTGGAGATCTTGACCAAAAAAAATGGCATAAAACCCAATCAAAGGCTCTGCCAAACCTTCCTGAAACTTTGGAAAAGATTAAACTCCCTAGAGTCCAATTTACACAACAGAATTTAATTAAAAGTAATACAGAAAATCGTTCTTGTTACTTATATATACTTATTTGTATGCACACACAAAAACAGATAAAATCCCCTTTGTTAGATTAAGCTATTAAAACACAAATAAAAGCAGCATGAGCTGGCTGCTTAATGATGAATTTCATATTCGTGATTAACCTAAGATTATGATTCAATGCTAGCTGACAACATAGTTTGCTTCCTGCAGGGCAGCTCTCAATGTAATCTTCACCTTAAACTTTATATACCAGTGTCAAAACTCAGTATCAGATTTACTGAATTAAAGATACCACTATGAAAATGAGTAAGCACCAAATGAAAGTATTTCAAAAATAAAGACCCTGAGCTTCTATGTGAGCAAACAAAAAGCAGGAAGGTGGGCCACTAGAGACTGTTAGGTAGTACTCTGACTTCAAGTCTTACCATATTTTTGCTGAACAGCACATGTATACACTCAGGAACAAAAAAAGCACTGCTTGTCCATACAGCCACATTCAACTGAAATACTACAACCCAGGTGAGAAGGAGAAAAACAGCAAAGCACTGCTTCAGACTTGGACCTGGCTTTACCACCTAAGCAACAACTTTACATAACTATACCCTCATCAAACACAAGCCTTCTGTCTTCACTTTCAAAGTCCTTCATAACCTGTCTGCACACCCTATCTACCATCTCGATCATTTCCCAGTCAAGATCAATTTCTGCTTTCAGCATTCTTTGATGGCAGTCTCTGCTGATTGTCAGATAAGAATGTGTCTGCTATTCTGACAGTCATGCTTGTGGGCTGTTCTCCACTGTTTCCACAAAGTTATTATATTCCTTCAAAACCTTCTTTGTAATGCCTCATAAAAGGAACAGTGCTTAATTGTCTGAATGCTGATCCAAACAACTAGTTGGTTTCCCTGTGCCCTTGTAAATGCTGGTATCTAACAGTCTTCCCTGATTCCATAATTAGTTATCCTTGGGGTAGGGAGAGTTTCATCGTTATATACATCAGCATATTCCTGATGCACTGTGTCCTGATTAAAGGCAAGGACTCAAAAGTGAAGCAGTAATGCAGATAATGCACTTCTCTTTGAATCTCCTCATTTGCGTCAGTTCCAAGACCAAAAACCACAGATTTCAAGGTTGAACATAAAGATGATTAGCCTTGTGGTTAGTTATAATGTCAGGAAGGTGAAGATAAAACAGTCACAGGCTTGTCCTTCCCAAGTTGCACAGTCTGAATTTAAAGCCTTTGGTTTGGGTACAGAGGTATTGTGGCACGGAGGGGGGAAGAAAAATGAGCAAATAATTTCTAATTGCTTTTTAAAGAAAAAAGAAGAATTTGGGTAGAAAAGAAAAAAGTGAAGGGTGCAACAGGACAAAAAAGGAGAAAAACTCTAGGAGGAAAACCAGCATCAACAGAGGTTTAGCAAGGGGATTTCAATTCTAGATAAAAGTCCTGAGATTTAATATATAGAGATAAGTAATGAGAAGAATACAATACTGGAGCTTTAACCACCCTCTAAAACAACATATAACATTCACAAAGAACAGTCTCATGGGAGTCAATTACCGTAACTTAACAAACAGAAGTCAAGCGAACTTCAGAACCACACTTGAGCATTTAAGAACACATTTCAAATCATACTTGCCAACATATTTCATGAATTTGATAACATTATAAATAGTAAAACTTAAAACTCAGTGCTGCAGAAGATCACATTCAGGAGAAAAAAAAAAAAAAGAAAAAAAAAAAGAAAGAGACAGTTGCATTAACCTGACAGACATCAAAAAGCAATGCAAATTGCCTCACATCCAATTTCTACTTCAATTACTGGCAATAACTAAATTCATAATCAAAAGAGTACATACAAAGCATGTTCAATAGAACATTACTTTAATCACTGCTAAGTTCTGCTCCTGATGTGCTTAAGTTTCATTTTCTTATAATGTAGCCTTATTTATTTAATATGCTGGGTTTGGAAGTGGTAGTATCACCTGTAGAGAAGGAAAGGAAAGAAGAAAAGCACAGAGAAGAGGGGAAAGAGCAATAACCTTCTAAACGCTCAAACTTCAAAATTCACTAAAAACACCATTAATTTTACACTGTGGATTTTGTATATCACTGGGTGAACTTACCACTCATACAACATTTTTGCTTAGAAAATGACAATATCAGCATAAAACTAGAAGTTGAGCCATTACTGTCTACTCCAAACTTTTATCTCAGCTGAAAAGATGCTGCAATAGCATAAACAACAAAAGAACAACCAAACACTGAAACTGAACTAACAATGACACAGCATCAGAGTAAAGAACAGATGTACCAAAGCAGTCGCAGGGGCATGACACTCTTCAAACACATGAAAAGGGAGACAGGTTTTTTTTGCTCACAAAAACCTGTAGGGTCCACTGGACAATAGCTTCAAACGATGTCATGTATTTTAATCACACTAAGTTGAAGTCAGAAACTTTATTTTTTGCTCAAGTGAAATTGTACGTGTGCTCACTAGAGGTTTCACCTGAGGAAGAAAATGCAAGATCAAGCCACTAAATTTGAAAACTAAACTTTCTTGCTAATTACACTCTTTACTGATATGAAATTCTTGGCATAACAGTTCCAGTTGGAGCTAAATTCACTGACATGTTCATTTTACTACCATTTTCCACAGAAATATTCTATTTCATTCAGGTTTTTTATTCACTGATTACAAAGATTTTTATGACAATTAGTTTTAGCCAAGTACGCTGTCACACTGGAAGTTAGAACACAAGAATTTGTCAAAACATTTTCTTTTTATATAACACTTTCAAACAGCAATTTAAGAAATAAAATTCAAGCTGTCAACTTTTTCAATCATATCCTCAGAAAACAGCATAAGTGTTTTCATTTACATTCTTGTTAGTCAAAGGTAATCCTTCCATGGCACAGACCCAAATTTTACCCTCCTGAGTGTACATACCACTGAATAATTTGTTCAAATGTCAGTTGCAATTTTCAAAAGTCCTTTCTTGCCCCTGAATCTTAAACATCTGTAACAAATACTTGTTTTGAGAGTGCTTTACATTCATGACACTTGACCTTTTGCTGTATGCACCACAAAATTTAAGTTTCAAATACCAGGCAAGCAGGAAATCTGATCATTTCAGCAGTAGCCATCTGCATGGTCCAATATCAAATAATAGTTCTGGGTTGCACAAAGTCATGGGCTACAAATCTTTTTCTGCAACTTCTATAATTAGTTACAATTTGCTGCTTCTAAAACACATTTCTCATGGAACATCTGGCCTTGAAATCTTACCTTAACATTGAAAAAGTACTTAGCATTTGGCTTTTGGTGTGCATACACACGTGTATACACACATGCATGTACGCACACAGATTAAGTGTAACAACAGAACACAAGCACATGCTTTGTGGGTGGCATACCTACTAGGGATACCTACTACCCTAGGACTAGGGATTTCCACTCCAGCAACCAAAGGCTTTTACCTCTGGAACCATAAGAGTATTACAAGAAATATCAAACATAATGGAAAAGTGTTTTCCACTGTTCTTGCTGGCTTATATCTAATTATTGATGTTAAATGTTAACAGCTCACCAAGCACCCTATCAAACACTTGAGAGCTTTGCACAAATTCGCATTTTCTTTTGCGTGATCCTTAATATAACTAGAGGACTATGTTGAAATTGAAATGTGAACAAGGCTTTAAAAAAAATCAAAACAAAAAACCAAACAAAAAACCCACCACAAAACTTCTCTAGAGTTAAAGCACCACACTGACCAAAAAAACAATTTCAAAATTAACATACACAAGTCATTTCTGTTAACTAAGTTAGACACATAACAAAATTGAGCCACTGCATATTTCGGCTTCATTGTGTCAAAAGGAAACCTTTCCTGAGCCTGTGAAAAGGTGTAGTGGAAAAATTATTGTGAGCAACTAAACAAAAAGCCCTTAGAGACCCTTACATGTAAGAAGTCTTCCAACTACATTCAAGCAAGTACTGTAACACCTGAAAAGAGAATTATACTCCAGGAGCTTTAAAGTACTCCTTCAACAGTAACAACATATCTTTTGAAAAATGCCCAATGCTCAGCGGTGCCGCACACAGCTGTCTCAAGCAACCAGCACTGCTCCTTGGGAGGCAGAAGCTGGAAGCACACAGGATGCTATATTGCTTTTGAAATCCATTTCTTGTCTAATCATCGGAAAATTCTGGCAGAGCACTATTAATATGCTTTTACATCTGCAAGAACACAGCTAGATCTAATAAAGAACTAAAAATAAGCATAAAGGAAGATACTAGCCATGATGAGAATAACAATATTAACCTCTCAGAAAATAACAGGGGCCACAACTTCACACGCCTTATTCTTCAGAAGGTTTTTAAAGAAAGTGGCCTATAGAAGTTATTATTCTCATCAACCTCTCAAGGTTAGAACTGTATTCATCACATTTCTTACCTGAGCTCCATCTTTTAATTTCAAGATGCATTCCATTGTATTGATTGTGATGACAACTGGTTCTGATCCCAATTTTGTCCATGGCACATGAATCCGAAGTTCATGAATATGCCCACTTAAAAAAGTAAATGGTAGTTTCAGCTCCTAACAACAACAACAAGAGTGGTGAATTAACTACTGAAACACATCAAAATCCAAGACAAGTTTGTAACTTAAAACAGTACAGTTTTAGCACAAAACAGAAGTCAAAATTTATTGTCCCTCCCCAAATCAGCGGTGTGCCATGGCACTTGGCAACTGGCTTTATGATCACTTGCACACTTACAACTAGTCTGTTCAAATGAGACATTTGGATTACCATAGTCTTGATAATAAAAGACAGTTTGAAACCACCTCTTTCACATGAAGCTACAGCAAAATGCGTCACTATTCAAGGGACAAATAGAAATGAACCAGGTGAAAGTAAATACTTAAACTGACATGCAACCTACTTTATTCTGAAGAACATAAATTTGGAATTAAACAAACATTGACAAAACCACAGCAAGGCAGTTTTTTACAAAATATTTTAGTACTTTGAGTTGTAAGAGCTCAGTGCTCTTAAGATGGCCCACTGTAGCCCCATTCACATCAAACTGCTCAGTAAATACAAAATTATTAAATTATTTATTGGAAAAAACAGACTCCTCACCAAGGCCTAACATGGATGTCACACTGCTTTAAGAACTGGTGCAACTCAGTCCAGAACTCCTAACAAATGAATGGCACTCCACCCAGTCAATGCATAGATCACACCTCTACAAGACAGCCCCAGTGAGCCAGCTGACGCATGCAGCAAGTCAGCAAAAATCCAGGTGCCAAGGTTTAGATAAATTCTTCAGATATAAAGCACTGAAGTTTCCCCAGTAGCTTCAGACATTCTCCTGGGAAGCATGAAATTAAGGCTTATCAGACAGAACGGTCAGACTAGAGACCTGGTCCCAGGACTAGAAATCAAGATTTAGAAAGATGAAAATAAGTACTCAGTGCAAAATAAAGAAACAATATTTGATATGTCAGAATTTTAAGTCAACATTCTCAACACAGAAGAAAGTATTCTAATGATAAGGCTTCAATGATGATATATCTTCTTACCTTTCTCATCTCCTATCCTGCCATTTTTGGCTATCAAGGTTTAAAGTTTTAATGGGGGGAAAAAAAAAAACGATGTCTTCACTTGGAGTTGCTTATAGCCTGGTGTTTGTGTTTTCCTCTTAGATGCTGGGAACTACAGGTGTGAATCTAAGTCTCCTAGATGCTGGGCAATAGTTTTGACCATTAGAACAGAATAGTTCCAGTCGGAAGGCACCTACAACGATCAGCTAGTCCAACTGCCTGAACAATTCAGGGCTGACCAAAAGTTAAAGCATGTTATTAAGGGCATTGCCCAAATGTCTCTTCAACACTGATAGGCTTGGAGCATCAACCACCTCTCTAGGAAGCCTGTTCCAGTGATTAACCACCCTCTCGGTAACGAAATGCTTCCTAGTGTCCAGTCTAAACCTCCCCTGGTGCAGCCTTGAACTATTCCCACGCATCCTATCACTGGATCCCAGAGAGAACAGATAAGCACCTCCCTCTCCACTTCTCCTCCTCAGGAAGCTCTAGAGAACAATAAAATTCACCCCTCAGACTCCTCTTCTCCAAAGTAGACAAGCCCAAAGTCCTTAGCACCTCCTCATGGGACATTCCTTCCAGCCCTCTGTCCACCTTTGTTGCCCTCCTCTGGAGGCATTCAAGGACCTTCACATCCTTCTTCAATTGTGGGGTAGAGAACTGCAGGCAGTGCTGGAGGTGAGGCCACACCAATGCTGAATACAGTGGGATAATCATCTCTTTTGACTGGTTGGTTGTGCTGTGTTTGATGCACCCCAGGATGGGGTTTGCCCTCTTGAGTAAGTAGAAGTTAAATAGAGGTGGTCCATGAAACTGAGGTCAAGCAGGCAAATTGCAAGGGAATTTCAGACAAACATCTAGAAGTGGATCCAGAAAGCTTCTTTCCTGCACTGCTTGACCCTAGACCTATCCCTGCTGCATACAAGTTCTACATGAATAAAATTTAAGGACAAGTGGATTTTGCATTTAGTACTTGACATATATTATAAAGTCTACCCATAGAATATTTCTCTGAAGTCAGTCGATGTCATTATTTGCCTAACATCTTGAAACTGTAATCAAATCTTAGTGACATGTTTTGAATGCCCACTAAAAATTTTGATGTTTCTAAGTAGTTACCTTGTCATAAGTTCAAAGTTGAAATAACCACTATCGCAACTGCAACAGCTTAGCATCCTGAGACAGACACTAATTAGTCATGCAAAAGAGAAGTCAACTATTCTTACACACAAATACCTAACACCATCACAGCAACAACAGCCGCTAAAAGGAGCAGTTTCAAGCTCCATTCCGCAGCTGATACCTCTTCAGCCTTTCTACTGGTACTATGAAAAAGTTCATCTTGCATGCAAGAGTGACAGGCAAGTACTGTTTCTGCATGTCAGTATAAGAATATTTACTGCTGACAAACTCTTCAAAGAAGAAAACTACACAAAATTATAGCTGTATTTTTTTTTGCTAAGTACAGCTTTGAGTTTGTAAATTAGGTTTTGGGGTTTAATAAGCTTTTAGTTTTGGGGGTTTAATGAGCTTTCAATAAGGAAAGTTCAAAAGTCACACCCATCTCATGTCAGGGAAACTCTTGACTCCTACCTCAGCCATGCTTACACAAAAAGTCACATCTAGTTTCAAGTCCCCATTTCAAAAGATGACAGTTACAGACCTTCTCATAAAAACAGTTTGAAGAAAATTGTTAATTTGTTTTCACAAAATGTTTTTTCTTCATATCATTCACTAATATACTGAAGGATTTTAGCTAAAAGCTTCTCTCTTAAAAATGCAGCCTTAGGCTTACAATCAACACAAATAAAACTTTAGTCCAGACAGTTTCCGTTATGCCACTGAAAAGCAACTACAGGGCAGTTTAGCTACAGATGTTGCCACACTGATCATACAATAAATGAAAAAGTACCTTATGTCCCACAGCTTGGGGGCGTGGCCAGAAGTGATAAATGCAATCTAAAAATACATTACAACTTAAGAGACAATGATTTCATGAATTAAAACAATAAACTACCAGTATTAACAGTAATAGAAATAAATTCCCTTTCCAGACTTGCACACACGTAAGTATGTCATCAATACTGCAATGTCTATATAGATCCTGACTTGTGTTCATGATGAAAGTTACGAGTTTACTTCAAAATGCATTCCAGAATAGATCTTTTTCCACTATTTGCTGGATGGATTTAACACATTCCCATTTTTGTCTGCTTAACTGTAAGATATCGAAAGAAACAAAACACAAGTAGGAATTCTTTCAAAATGAGGTGATACAACCAAATGCACACCATATTTAGAAGACACAGTTGTACTTTTTCAAAGGAATTTAGATACAAATGTTGTCTGACATTATCCTAATTGCACAAGCAAGTTTCCTTAAAGCAATGCAGAGAAATCTTTGTTGTGCTATTTCACTAGACAATACAAAACAAACATGTGCCAAATTTAGTAACTTGTTCATAATACAGTTTTATTCCTCCTTTCTTGTGCAATCTTCCCCCTTTCATTAAGTACTGCATGAAATTCTTAATATATCTTTTGTACTTATGACTGGTTAGACTTTACATTTCAGATTTTACATTTACATCATATAAACCCTCAAAAAATTATGATATGGCTGAAAACAAACTCCTGGGCTTGACACATAAATAACTGATCAACATTGTGTAAGACTGCAGACTAGATGATCATAATTCCCCTTATGGGAATTACAGGACAGACCCCAAGAGTTATTGCAATAACATTCAGTCTAGTTTAAAGAGAGCATGTAAAACATACAAAAATGTACGTAAAAATATGCAAAGTATTTTCAGGTACTGAAATGTTCTCTCTGGGTTTGATAAATCTTCTGTGTCAACAACTACGTTACATCTGATTTCAAAAGGTCTTGGTTCCAACTTGGTCCCAAAAATAAAGTAAGGTCTTCTAGAAGACAGACAAGTTTACACTCTGTTCTCATCTATTCTTTGGGATTCTGTTTGGTGGCCTATACTACATATTTTAAGAGTTTTGCTGAGCAGGCAGAAAGCAGCATCCCTTCCACAGAAAAGATAAAGACACCCTAAATACAGTCTGTGGGTCCAGGTAAGTTCCAAAGAACAATATGAGCCAAATTAAGATCACTACATTTCACATAAACACATAACAAAATAATGTAAAAAAAATGAATCTGAGCTAAATTTTGCATTCATCACATATTCACATCCTCATTCAAGCTGATAAGACATGAGCACAGGTATATACGACAACATTTGCCTCTACAACAGCGATGACATTAACAAATTGCACCAGATATTTAGGTACCCAGCTAATAAAATAGACAGACGAAGATGAAGCCAGGGATCACCTACCAGAAAATTGCAACTATTTGAAAGGGAACCACATAGATGATGGCAGCAAAATCCTAATAGCACCAGGTAACATAAGCAAGTTTGATACATCCATTCCAAGTCATTGTTATTAGGACAAACTTTCTACATGATATAGCACTGGAACGGTTTACCCAAAGAGGAGGTTTTCACAACCAAGACAGGAGATTTCAAGACTCAATTGGAGAAAATCACAAGCTGAACTGACATAATGCCGGCAACAGCCCTGCTCAGAACAGGTCGTTGGACTAGATGAGCTCCAGAATTCCTTTCTGATCAACACTTCTTTGATTCCATAATATAAACAGTAAAAAGGGCTTCGAATACGCACAGGAGGAACACATCCTATACAACTGAAGTCTAGTATCCACGTTAGCTGTATGGACAAGATGGACCAAGAAAATGAGGAACTAAAAGACTTGACAGAAAATACAGAGGCCACCAAATACTTGGAGCAAGACAAATCAGGCTCTTCATAGAAGCAGAGTAAACAGGACAGGATCTCTTGAAAGATTGTCTCCTCTTCCAAAACAGAATCAGAGATACTTAACCATAAATATTTCTTGCACATTTTAAAAGGTCTCCCCTGATAGAGACCATGCAGCCTCCTCAGTCTACTCCAATGCCTCATAATCCGATTAAAACATCAGGAAATCGTCCTTGATGTCCAATCTAAGTGTCCTTGAGAGCAATTTATTCCATTCTTTCTTGTATCATCCATGTAACTCTTGCCCAATCTTGTCTCACTTTATTTTATTCAAAATTAAAAACACATTCCCTGTCTATTTTATTCTTCTTTCAATGGCCATGTTATCTAAATCTCCCATTATTTTTTGCTGCATTTCTCTCAGCTCCTTCACTTGGACTATATCTGGACACAGGACTCCAGCTAAGACTCGCTACACCATGCACAACAGAAAACAGCTTTATCTGTCTCACACACTCAACTCCTTCAGTTGCCAACTCAGATAAGCATAGAAGGAAATGATCCCTCCACTAAGACTTAACCAGTTCATATTGACAGCAGGTTCCAAATTCTGTATCAAGCGTTTCACTTGGTCAAGCTTGTCTTTTTAAGGCTAAGTTTTACAGAGCCTCTGATCTAATCCACACAAACCAGCTGATCAAACCTGTCCCTCAATTAGCTTTAAGTTTAAATACAACTGGAATGATGAAAACTGGAGTCATAAAATAATATAGAAAACACAAATCTACATTTAGTACGCATAGTTAAGAAGAGATCCTACTTTACTTTGTGATATTTTGAATTAATTACTATATGTAACTAGTAAATATGACTGGAAAAATCAATTTAGTTAATGTTTGTACTGTAAAACAATGGCTACCAAAAGAAGAAACATGTCCACAAAAAAGCTTTTCTCTTTACACCCTATAACTTATAGAATGTGCAAAGAATTACTATTCATTACTAAATAAATGGCATGGAATTAATGCAAGAACAACTAAATGCAGGGGGATTTGAGTACGAAATGAACATTTATCTGTGCAGACCAATCTAAATTATTTAGTCAATTTCTTTTAAATCAAAGACATAGACCATAACTACAGAAAACATAACATACCTGTTCAAGTACATCCAGCTTTAGTTCAAGTTTACTAAGTACAACGTCTCCTCCCCAGAGTGACAACTGCAGATCTGAAGGCTTCAAGTTCTTTATGTAGCGATTCACATAACTCATCAAAATTGGAGTTACATAGGACTCCAGCATTCTGGAAGATTTCTGTATCGCAGCTCAAGCGCTAGGAAAAAAAGACAAGACGGTGAGATATTCTTTATAAATCTGTCAGCCTAATTTTCAATAAAGCAACAGTCACACTGTTGGGACATATGAAAGATCATATTTCAAATCCTGCTTTCTAAACATATATATGTCTACATGTGGAGACAGATATACTTACACATAAAGATGAAATATATAGCAGGATGAAAGCAGATCTATTTCAATTTACAAATTTCCAGCTTTTTTATATATAGAGAGAGGAACTAATAACTAGCTTGCTCACTATCAAAAGAAAAGCCAACCCAAAGAAACTAAAAAAAATTAAAAAAAAAAAAAAAAAAACAGAGAACGAGGTGGTCAAGCAGTCTACCATGCTTTCAGATTAAAATTTAAGTGACAGAAACCGTGGCACTTTTAACTGATAACAGCCCGCACTAAACCACCACCTCAGGCACTCCTCACCGATCTGACATCTCGCGTACCGTGTACATGACAGCAACGCCAGCTTCGTGCCGCCCTTCACTCTGAGCAAACCAACCTCCTCCAAAACCCAAGCTGAAGTGACACTAACGCTTGCCACCACCCCGCTCCC